CCCCGCATTGCCAGGGCTGGCCGGCACTGTAAGGTTGCGTTGTGTGTGCCGGGCTGCCCGGGACGGCGCTACGCGGCGTTGCACGGGCTGCGCTTCACAGCTTGGCACTGCTTGGCACGGCGCGGTTTGGCACAGCCTGGGCTGCTGGCCGCTGCATGGGCTGGGCTTTACTGCGTGGCGGTATACTGCACTGCATGGCACTGCGCTGCACTGCGTGGGTGGCACTGAACTGAGCTGTACTGCTCATGCTGCGCTATAACGCACTAGCCTGCTGCGCTGCATGGCATCGCACTGCATCGGTTCGGACTGCGTTGCCAGGAATTGCTCTGCGCTGCAGTGCGTGGACTGCCCTGCACAGCACAACACTGCTGAGGACTGCTGCATCACCCTGCAGTTCTGCTTGCGGCACACTGCACCTCGCTGCATTTTTCCCCAGCGTAGTGCTTTCTGCACACAGCTCTCCTCAGCTGCGTGACTCCATTGAAGACTGGGTGCTCCTGTATGAGCTCTCAAGCTCACCGCTCTGGGTTTTATCTAACAAAAGGCGCAGTGGTTTATCAGTGGAGGTGGCACGTGGCTGAGATACAGCAACTTAGTGTGAAAAAAGCCCACGTAAGAGGGTCTGCAGTCACTTCTGGGTGTCCAGAGCTGCTCTCCCAGTGCTAGACCACTCCTCAAAGAACACATTTGGTGTGAGCCGGGTGGGGCTTTCCTTGCAAAGGTGCTGAGACGGTGCCAAAGGGAAACCCAGGGCAGCAGCCCTGCCTGGCCAGAGACTGGGAACTCTCCTCGACGAAAGAGCCAGCAGACGCTGTGCCCCAGGACCGGCCTTGCAAGCTCCCCATCCACAGAGTCCACCTGGCTCGGCTCCCTGCACATCCCACACCCCGCTGTGGGCATAGGAGGCCTCCAGCGCTTATAATGACTCTATGCTTTGCTCACCGGAGGGAGTGTGTCTGTACAGCACGTACGCAGCAGAGCAGGCTGGCAGCCTCTGCTGGCACCTCGGTGCCAGTAAAACAGGCTGGGATCCTGCAGGAGACAAGAGCTTCCTTGGCCCCGGTCGCAAGGAGAATCAGCAGCAAAACCAAGATCAGTATTGAACACAGGAACCCAGGAAT